CAGGGACCTGATGCCGAGGACCCTGGAGGGGCAGATCACCATGGAGAAGACGCCCAGCTACTTCGTCACTCGGGAGGCGCCCGCGCGCATCTCGGCCATGTCCAAGGACACCAAGCTCATCGTGGTGGTGCGGGACCCGGTGACCAGGGCCATCTCGGACTACACGCAGACGCTCTCCAAGCGGCCCGACATCCCCACCTTCGAGAGCTTGACGTTCAAAAACAGGAGCACCGGCCTGATCGACACGTCGTGGAGCGCCATCCAGATCGGCATCTACGCCAAGCACCTGGAGCACTGGCTGCGCCACTTCCCCGTGGGCCAGATGCTCTTCGTGAGCGGCGAGCGGCTCATCAGCGACCCGGCCGGCGAGCTGGGCCGCGTGCAGGACTTCCTGGGCCTCAAGCGCATCATCACCGACAAGCACTTCTACTTCAACAAGACCAAGGGCTTCCCCTGCCTGAAGAAGGCCGAGGGCAGCAGCAAGCCCCACTGCCTGGGCAAAACCAAGGGCAGGACCCACCCCGAGATCGACCGCGAGGTGGTGCAGAGACTGCGCGAGTTCTACCGGCCCTTCAACCTCAAGTTCTACCAGATGACCGGGCACGACTTTGGCTGGGATTGAACGGACTGTACCTGTGACGTTTATCATGTGGTTTATATATTACAAGAGATTATATGTATGTAAAATGTACAGAAATCTATTTTATAATAATTTATTTTTAATTCATAAGCAATTAATTCACTAAGCTGCCTAGCCACACTCTTTAGAGAGTTAGCTTCATGATCTGTTAACATTCCAAAGTGTTTAATTCTGATGTTTTGCTCTATGCCTCACAATTGATGGTGCTTCCATTTTTCCCCTTTCCCTCCCCATTATATTTAAAAAGAAGAAAAGCACAACTTGAGATTTTTTTTGTTACGGGTATTCAGCCTTCAGTTGCTGTCCCAGTTCTCTGGTTGCTGTCTGCTTGCGTCTGGGTCTCCGTGCTCCAGCTTCCAGTTTTTGCTTGCGAACCTCCTAAGAGCTCTGAGCTGCCTCCACTGTGCTATATTCTGAAGTCAGACCTCACATAGCAGCTTCCTAATCCATGTGTAATCATTTCCAAGGAGGGAGACTCCAAACCACCGTGCTGAGGGTTTCCCTCACCTCTACCGAGCATGTGGGGCACCCCCCCCCATGCAGTGTTGTCGGTATCCTTTTAGAGTTCGAATGACAGGGCCCATTTCCTTTAGCCTTCGATGTTGAAGGATGGCCCATCATCCCCTTCTGTCCTATCCTTGGTCCATTAACAGCTTGATGTGTGTGCAAATGTTAGTCCCTTTCCCAGGCCACATGCTTGGGTGCTGCTTGAGAAATAAAGGTGATCTTTTCTAATTTGCATGAGCGTGCACCGTGCTCTTTTCTCCAGGCAGACAGTTCTGCTGTGACACACCAAAGAATTCCATAGGCTTGCAGAGCCACTGGCACAAACCCAAGGAAGGCACTGGATATTGGGACCTATAGGGGTCAGGTGCATCTCTTGCCATCAGCATCTACCAAGCTGTGGCTAGGTGCAGAGCTGTTGCTAGGTGTAGGCTCACAGCCTCACAAAGGAGAAAAGACAAAGACTCAAAACTGGAAGGCAGCCTGGCAGAGGAAGGATCTCCCTGCATCCCAGATTGCTGTTGCTTTGGGATTTGTAGCGCCTCTCAGAATGACCATGTGGCCTGTAGATAATTCCAGTAGCAATAACGAGGAGTGGCCCTTTTAAAGGCATAAAAGCTAGTCCCATGTCCTGTAGTCTTTGGGCCAGAAACTTGTACAGCTGTCCTGTTTCAGCTTCCTGTTCAGAAGAGCTGCCAGCATCGTTACTACTGTGCAGAAGGCTCTCCCCATCCCTCTGTGGTGCAAGTGCAGATAGGGATCATTTATGATGAGCAGCTGGTGGCAACTGGATAACCATATAGTGACATCATATAATGACTTATTTAGCTAATCTTCAGTTCTCTATACCAGAGTACTTCTGTTACAAAAAAAATTGTTATTTGAGCTATACTTTCCTCAAAGAACATGTGGGAAGATGTACTGATTGTCAAACTTGTGATATTTATAGAGGAAGCCTTTGTATGTTGAGCAGGACAACTTGACCGAATGGGTAAGAAAAGTTATATGAAAAGAGGAGAGAATCATTTATATCTAGAAACTAATCCAGAGATGTTACTGGTCTTTAAAGTGACATTTTGATAATCTGGTTTGTATTTGTCCACACACTTTAGCCCAACTCTTAGCAGCAAAAATATCTGGACAGGTTGAGTTTAGGGAGGAAGGTGAGCAGAGGCGCTGTGTATTCCCTAGGTGTTGTATCAATTTTATAGAGTGTTTTTATTGTCTTTACAAAATGATGTGGAACCTGCACTTCAGGGCAACACGTTATCATAGTGCATTCTCCAGTCTTGCTGCTCGGGTGTGAATGACACCCACATAAGGGTGCTAATAAGTTGTGCATTTTCTGTTTGGCAGGCTCACCTACAATCAAAGTGTGAACACTTCTTTTCAGTTAGAGCATAACCTTGCTTTGAAGTAAGGCAGTATCCAAGTCCTCCACCAAATCTTGCCCTGTTGACTTCCTGGCCACTCTCATGGTCTAACCGGACTCAAGATATAATTGGATTCATGGTGTAGACTTGCAGAATAGTCCGGAGAAGGTTGTGCAACAACCAGAGGAAAGCATGTATGAGCTTTTGCTTCCTCTTCAGGTCCCTGACCTACTTAACTGGACAAGTTTTGATTGTTTATTCCCAGCTTTACAATAAAACTGAAACAGGAAATGTTCAGATAGGAAGGTCATTTAGGCATGAACACTGAAGTGGCTCAAAATTCTATTCCAGGCGAAAGTCCTTGAATTCAAACAGATGTCGATAATTAGCACTGATGGAATAGGACACATTTTTCCAAGTAAGACAAATAAATGAAACATCACGTGCATCTCTTAGGCTGCGATAGATTGTAGCTCCTGATTGATCTGGGTGATGCAGCTGCTGGAGATTATCCCTTATCATGTGATAGTTATTACAGCCCTGCCTGCCTTCTTGGAAAGTCAGGCAGCACAGAAGATTGAATCTTGGGTTTCTTCCTCTGCTAGCCATCTGTAAGGCCATCAAGTTTAATAGTTTAGCTGCTAGAAGACAAACACCACGTCATGTTTTGGCAATTAATTCCAACACATGTTTTGGGTTTCTTTCATTTTAAAGAAAAAGCCCTGGTATTCACTGGAATGCTTTATTCTCAGTTTTGTTCCTTTCCTCATTTAAGAACAAGAAAAAAAGATGAACAAAAGAGAGGTAATTTCTGTCTGTCGACCATTTCCTTTGAGGTGTTTGTGTATAGTCAACTGTTAACAGAATAGGTAGTGCCTGGAAAGGTATTTTAAGACTATGTAATAAGTTCTTAATTGGATGATTGAGGAGGAGAAATTGTCTAATTCATGGGATTCTCTTTATGAGTCATTTTGAGTGGCAGATAAATTTAGACCTTTGGAGAAACACACTTACAGATGCTTCTGGGATGTTCTGGTAAGAAAGGAAAATGGAAGTTTCTAAAGAGTTGGGAACACTTTAGTATGTTTCTAAGATGCTGATGTGGAAGTCAATATTGTTTCTTTTTTCATTTTCTCAATAAGAATGTTTAATACAATTTAAAGGTGTGCTTAGATTTCCTTTCACTTTTGTAACATTAATTTATGACTGAGTTTCTTTCAGCCCCATAATCTAAAATACTGTGCAAATTCTAGCAGTGTGTCTTCTATAACCTGGATGTTAGAATAGCCAATATGTACAAAAAATTAAATCAAGTATTTTGTTCTATGTATAACACAAATTAATTTTACACAGAGAAAGATGTTTCTAGGAAAATGAAATTCTGGTAATTCATACTGTTTCTTTGTATGAACAAATAAAATATATTTTACCAACTTGTGGGGACTTTTATGTTTTACTGTATGGCAGATAGAGCAGGTAGTAACATTTTATTCAGTGCGTAGTTATGTTATCAGGTATTCCTTCAGAAATGGCTCACCCATTCAACATAGTCCAGGTTTTTCTTTCCTGAAACAAAGAATTGGATGACAAAAGCCAAAATGGTGCCAAAAGTTTATTTTAAATGCGAGGAGTGAAGGGGTAAGAAAAGGACTAGCACCTTAGAGCAAACTTGGGCTGAACAATGAGAGGAAAGGATCAAAGAGCATCCCGCGAGACACAGTGGACCGCTGTGAGGAGTCACCATAGCAGGCTTCCATTGTACCTCATCTCTTTTGCGTTATCCACATCCCATGGGAGCCTGCCAGGTCCTGGGAATGGCGTGATAATGTCCTGGGTTCTCGTAATTGACAGGTGCCACTTATTTCCCCAGACTGTTTTGCCACACCCCACCTCTTACATCAATCACACATGCGTATGCACAAAAAGTCACTCTTTGCACATTTATTTTTCAGGTTTTAGAGGGCCCAACCCAAAAGCCAATTATTCCACAAGTGTTTAAGATGAATTTTTTGTAAATGACTAAAGGCAAAAGAGGGAGAGAGAGGTTTGTACCCTGGAAGAGCTTAACCTCCATCCCCACATAGGGTCCAACAATACCAAGACCACACACTCAGGCCAAAGCAGGTGCACGAAGGCCAGTCACATGTCACATGGTAAGTGGGCTGTGGGTGAGCCCCTTTGGGTGAATCTGTATAGTAGCATTGCAGTATGGCCTTTTTTCTGTGGAAATCATTTTCTGTGACCAAGAGACAGAAAGGCACTGGGCAAGAAAATCTGTATTTTTAGTTTGTCTCAAACTGCCTTCTGTTTCCTTTGAGCATAGCAGCGCATCTATACGATTACTGCTTACTACAAATATTTGTATTATTGACTTAATTTTAAAAGAAACTTATGGTTTTAAGGGAGAAGCTATAATTTCTTGCCATAAAAAGGTGATCATAAAATACAGAGCAAACAAATGTTATTCATTTCTAGCTAGATAGTATAGGTGCGGTTTTAGCAGTCTTTGCCTTAGGCTCAATGCTCTGGCTGGCAAGACTGGCATCTAACTGAGCTATGCATCTTGACATGAAGAATGAAGGAGGATTGAAGAAGGAAAGCTTATATGGTGTCATTTAGTGTTGAGCCCATGCATACATTAAACACTGGGGTCCTTCCCTCTCCATCCTTTCCTGTAGCACTCTGTTGCCTCACACTTTGGGGACCTGAGAATCACACTGAGAGAACATCTTGGGGAGAGGCACAGAATTGGAAAGTAGGCTAGCCTTTGTGGAAGGAAAATATGACTAACATGGCCAAGAGGAGGCAAGTTGTTTAATTAGCATTTGGTTTTTAGAAGCCAGCATTTCATGGAGATGGGGCTCCTTCAGACCCAGGAATAACCCACCCAGTGAAATATGTGTGTGCCTTAAATGGTGACATGACTTTGCACCCATCCCATCAATTTATGATTTTTCTACAGAAAGGTAGTAAAATGGACCTAAAAATCTACTTATTAACCTGATGGCTCAGTTCAGAGAAGGTCAAATAATCAAATGACTTGGAGAAATATTTTAAAAATTCTTAACTTATGAACAAATCCTCAGTAGCACTGGAACTAGCAGAAAGAATCAACAGGTGGGATCTCATCTTATTAAAAAGATTCTGTACTGCAAAAGAAACCATCAACAGAACTAAGAGA